GCCGTGTACTCTGGTATAAGTTTTCCGACGTTTCAGATGTGGTTGCTGCCTCTATCATCAGGTCTTTCCATCTACGTAAAGTCTCTCTTCAGTTCCCCTCCTACTCGGTTTAGGCAACTGAATGCCTGTACCGACCTGAAGATCCTAATTTTTAATCATAGTCTTTTTTCGTTCATTTTTGCTATTTAAGTCATTCTTAAGGTAGTATATTTGCGTCATATTGTGAATTAGGTTAATATTTTAATATTTTCCGTCAAATCACAATTTTTAATAAGATAATAAAATATAAAATATTTAAAATATTAAAATATTAAGTCATTCTGTTTACATCGTCTTCGAGTCTTCCTATTGATTTAAAGTTTATCACATATTCTGATATTTTTTATCGTTTTCGTGTATGTCCAACTGAAGTCACTTTTCAGTCAAGGCGTTAATATATAACAATTTAATAATACATTGATTTTTGCATTTATTGAGATAATTTGTTGTTTTACAAAATAGACTACTTCATTTTATGAACAGTGTTTTTTTGCATAATAGTCAACTACAATGCCACACGCAACAAAATCCCCGCTTTAATTTCAAGTTGAACTATGAAGAACATAACGAGACTGAGTTTACAAGATGGCGTCATAGTTTATGCTTGACAAATGCCATTGACACAAGAAAGCGGGGCTTTGCACACTGCAGTTTGAGGAGGTCCTCCAAGAATTGAAAGACTGAAACAATGGTCTCCCTCGTCTGAAACAAACAATCATCGTCCTTGAAATCTAATTAAAACCCAAATTGTATACCTTTGTATACAATTAGCGCAAATTTGCACTAATTGTGATTTCTTATGTTCATAGTAAATCAAAGACAGTAATTTGTAGATCAGAAGAAAAATATATAATCTTATATTCTAGTTCTGCCATATTGTTCGCCTGTCGAAATGAGAATTATCAATGCATGCCAAAATAAACAGGAAGTTTATGTTCCAAAATATTAGCAAGAAGCCGCCACAAAATTACGTCTTCAAGGCCACGAAAGGACTTCTCCCCTCTCACTTGTTAGTAAGAAGAGCCCACCAATCGACTGCACCTTGAGTCATCTGAATACATTATATTTGTTTGGGACCAGATCAAATATCTTTCTGTTATCCATACCAATGTCTACAAATTATTATTTCCAATCCGATTTTTCGACTAAAATCTTGTATGCATTTCTCACTTTACCAGTGTGTCCAACATTATCGCCTTAATATTTGATTAAGAGTGAAACCCATGGTTATTCACTTGTTACGTTCTCCACGCACTTATTACTTTGTCCCCTCTAGGGCTAAAGTATTTGCCTCAGAATTTGTCTGAACTGTTTTATATCTTTAGGGATGGAGAATACACCATATACAACAGAAGGTAAACGTTACAGGCATGTATTAATATTTTTAGCTAGCTGGAGTGAAAATAAAATGTAATGTACTTAACGGTAGCAAGAATTACATGCAAATTTACTTTATAATAATAATAATCATACTTAGCTGCGTGATGCAGACGGCACAACAACCACAGTATGATGAATGTGGTACTAATGTTGCATTCGGGGGGCAAGGTAAATTCGTAACTGTTGAGCAATTTATATTTTGACAGTAATTCGGAGGGCAGACAATAAGTCCAAACGCAGCGGACACACAGGATGCCAGGACAACTAGCTGCAGTCTCATCTGAAAAGTGTACAGAAACGCCAACGATGCATTATATGTTTTTGACGTAGATACGTCTATACTTTAGGGTCAGTGTCATTCCGCAAAAAAGTGTGACGAAAATGTGTAAGATGGTTACCCAGGAAACGTCATCTGTTTACTCAGCATTGTTGTTACCTATAAAACATTTCATTACATTGCATTACATTCAGCTACCACAGACCCATCTTAAGCGTAACTAATTCAAGTTAAATAAGCAATGTCTTAATCAAACTTTACTCAATTGTAAAGCATGTATAAACGAAATATTTAGAATAAACCCAATACGAGGTGCGATCGGAAAGTTTCTAGACTGCGCGTATAAAAACCCGTACACTTATCTCAGGTATTAAATTCATCCATCACCCTCGAAGTAGTTCCCCTGGGAGTGAACACAACGATCCCAGCGCCGCTGCCAAGCCTGGAAGCATCCCGGGAAATCTTTCTTTGTCAGCCTGTCAAGCACCATCTGCGATTCTGCCTGAATCTCTTCTATCGTCTCAAATCTCATTCCCTTTAG